GAGCAGGGAGCCCGATGCGGGACTCGATCCAGGGACTCCAGGATCATGACCTGAGCCGAAGGCAGTCGCTTAACCAACTGAGCCACCCAGGCGCCCCAGGGGGGTTAGGTTCTAAGTTAGTTTTGGAGCTAGAGGCTGCAGATTGGATGTAAGGGATGTGACGGGGAAGGGTTAAGAACGACTGCAAGGTGTTTGGCCTGAGTGACCAGAACGATGGAGGTGCCATCCTGAGATGGGAAGACTTGTGGGAGGAGGTTTGGGGAGGAAGGTGCCTGTTGGATATACAGGTGGAAATGTTGACTGACACAGATGAGTCCGCAGGTAGGTGAAGGGGTCAAGCCTGGAGTGCCGAGTGTGTAGGTGGGAATGAGCCCTAACGAGCCTGGATAAGCTATCTTCTAGGAAGAGGTAGGGAAGTTGTTAAGTGAGTTCTTTGTTTAGAAGTCAGGGAGTTGAGAGAGCAGCTCAGGAGACAGGGAGGGAGAAGGAAAAGCAGGAGAGCCTGGCACCTGGAAGGCAAGTGAAGACGGGGGTGTGGTGCGGTCAGCTCTGCCAGCAAGCTGCTCTAGGTTAGGCTCAGATGAAGGCTGAGAATCGACCACTGGATCTTGCTGTGTGGAAGCCCCTGATGATTTCAACCAGAGCAATTTCAAGTGGGGTAGGGTGGAGGGGACAAAGTGATTGGAGTGGGTTTTAGTGAGAGTGGGGGAGGAGAAGAGAGAAGAAATATGAAGAAAGGGCCTTGCCAGGGGTCAGATGGCAAGTTGGGGCCAGACCCTGGGCCAGAACCTCAGTCTCCTCTCAGGCCAGGCTCCTGTGTGCACGTGGAAAGTAAGACCCCGTTCTTACTCTTGAAAGCCTACTGGCCCCCGGCAACATCCCCCCACCCCGTTGTCCTGGTGGTCTGTTCTAAGTAAGGAAGCCCTGAGTCCCTAATTGAGAAATATCATTAGTGTAGCCAGGAGGCAGGTCTGCTCTGGGTTCCCCCGCTTGAGATCTGTAACATGAAGCCTTGTTTTAGGCAATTCTTCCTCTGGCTACCTAAAAGCTTTCTGGTTTCAACTCCAAGAGCCAAGTCTGAGGGATGCTGACCTTGAATTTGGTCTGATTTCTCCTATTCTCAAATTATCCTCTTAGGCTGGTCAAGACTTACATAGTTGTTGAGACATCTCTTCTTATGCTGTCCCTCCCAGAGGCTTGGTTTGAGCAGAGAAACTTTTTTAAGTGCCTGGAGAAGTGATCGGTTCCCTCCCTATCCCTAAGATTGGGCTGTAAGGAGAGCCCATTTTGATGACATGGGGTGGGGGCGCGGGGCGGGATGCAGCAAGACCAGGCTGGCTCCGGTTGGGTGAGGAGGCTAACCCAAGGCTCTGGCCTGCTTGCAGTTCTTGGGCCACTCAGCACATGGCCGTCAGCCCATTTCTGCTGGGCTCTGGGAAGGGCTCCCTGGGAGGGCTCACTCGGCAGTCGGCTCCCCCTTCTCAGAGCTCATAATGTACCCAGGGTGTTAGTCGGATGTGCATCTGCTGCACCCAGAGACGACCTGCACGGCCAGCAGCACGGCGCTTCGGCCTGGGGGCTCCACGAGGATGGTGGTCCATCAGGCTGACACGTCCTTAGTCTCTGGTACCCAGCCCAACCTTGGAAGTCCTGGGGCCTGGCCCAGCCTTGAGAAAGCCAGCCTGTGGCGAGGCCTCGGAGTGGTGTCAGAACAAGACCCCCTTGGGGCCATCTGGGTTCTAGTCCCCACCTGGGCTGCTCTCTGCTTATAGCGATTCCCATGTGGTGTTCTTTCCACCCTCAGATCTGCCCTCTAGCCCTGTGGACCTGGTGATCAACTGCCTGGACTGCCCCGAGAATGCCTTCCTGCGGGACCAGCCTTGGTACAAGGCAGCGGTGGCCTGGGCCAACCGGAACCGGGCGCCGGTGCTCAGCATTGACCCACCCGTGCACGAAGGCGAACAGGGCATTGACGCCAAGTGGTCGCTGGCTCTGGGCCTGCCTCTGCCGCTGGGGGAGCGCGCGGGCCGCATCTACCTGTGTGACATCGGCCTCCCCCAGCAGGTGTTCCAGGAGGTGGGCATCAGCTACCACTCACCCTTTGGCTGCAAGTTTGTCATTCCATTGCACTCTGCCTAGAGGGGCTCTGGGCGAGTTGGACCCTGCAGTCCCCTGCTGCTCCGGACACACTGAACTTGACAACGAACGCCTTAAGGATGTGAAGCTTCATGGACCTTGTTAAATTTTTTCGCTTTTGGATTTGTTACTTCTGTGAGAGAACAGATCATAATTTAAAAATGACCTGTCACCTGCCCGTAGCCGAGGAAGGCTTTCCCACTGGGTGTCCTGGGTGGGCGGCAGGCTGAGTGGCTCTCTGCATCTCTACACGTAGCCCCCTGCGTGGCTGGGTGGGGCTTTGTTTACAGACTTAGGCAGCTCACGGACCGAGTTTTCAGGTTTACAGTCACTGGGGCCTGGGCAAGCACCTTGCGGGGTGGGGCGGGTCCTGTTTGGGGGGCCTGTTCTTGCTATGGCTCCGTGTCTTCTGCCCCCCGCACCCCCCGCCCCTCCGGGCAGCCTTTCTCCCGATCATGTCGAACTGGCTGTGCTGCAGCTGCCCGCCAGAGGGCAGACTTGCACTCCGTTCATTTTGAGGGCTTTGAGGAGGCCTTCCCAGAGTCCCACCACAAGTTGATTTGGGGACTTTTGACCCTTTCTCCTGAGCTGATGCAAGTTTTATGCTGGGAGTTTTTTCAAGGGTCCTTCTTCCTTTCCGCTCCATCACTCTGAGAGGCAGGGAAGTGGGTGGCATCAGGATGGTTTTACTGTATTGGGATTTTATACTGTTTTTCTGTTTTCAGCATAGGTAGTACGAGACTATGTTACTATAGAACCACAGTGCCCATCTTGCCAGCAGTGCCCCCAGCCCCATACCCTCTCTGGCTGGGGGCAGAGCCTTTGCCTAGTCTGGGGCCAGAGCCCTCAGGGTGCAGCTTTAATGTTCAGTATTGGGGAGGTTCCTGGGGGAGCCTGGTGCTGAGCCAGAAGAGGCTCCCTGGTGCTTCTGTCTTAGGCCACCACTACCCCGCTCCCACCTCCTTGCCTGCCTCTATACCCCCTTTCTTCTGCCCCGTCTCTTTCCCCTGAAACGGTCTTTTGCAGCTGTTGTCCCAGAGCAGGGCGCATGTCCCTCCCCTGTCTGGGCCCCACCCCAGTTCTTACAATGTCTGGGCTTTGAACCCTTTATGGTTGTCCACTCTAGATGAGTACGCTTGGGGCCAGCACCCTATCTCAAAAGATGCCAAAATGAGGCTAGTTCTAGATGAGCCAGCTGGCGGGGCTCAGCCATAGGAACTTACTGCTGCTCAGATCCTAAGGCAGGAAAGCGCTTGGACCTCATAGGCTTAGGCCTTGGAGGCTGGTGTCAGAACAGGAGCCATGCCCTGGAGTCCCTGGCAGGGGCCCTTGCAAAAAGTTCATGCTTTAAAGCCTTTTTCAGGCCTTCAGGCTTACCTTCTGCTCTCTGCTCACCCACTCTGGTTAAGGGGGTGAGTGGGAGGGCTCACCAAGGATCATGGACACAGGGTAGGGCCCTGCTACCATGGGCTTCAGGCTACTTAACGCTTTTCTTATAGGAACATAGCCAGGAGCAGATGAGGCAGGGCAGAGGGCTGGTCCCTCCTTTCCTCCCGTCCTCCCTCAAATGTTAAATCGTCTCCACCAGTGGGAGGAGGCCAGAGACTGTGAGCCTTGTTGTGTATATCCTCCCTGAGCCTCTGCTCACTCTCAGGGCCAAGAAGCTCCCAAGAGGGAGCCCTCTCTTTAGAGGCAGGGTCATAGTCTGCGGAGCAGTGCTGGGTTATAGGCATTTTAGTAAGCAACCATTAAACAGTTTCTGGGTGCCTGCCTGTTCATGCAGTAAGGCCCCCCGCTTGGGTACGGTGGAAGAGGAGCTTGAGGAGCCCTGGCTCAGCAGACTCTGATTGATCCGGTAAGTTGCAGTGGCCCTGGGGGTGAAGGCCTTGTTGAGGGGCCACTGGGAGGTTGTGCCCAAGCCTGTCTTCTCTCTGCGGGTGGCTCTGGAGCCTCTTCCTGCCCTTAGCCTGGGCCTTCCCCGGTCCTATTAAAGATCAGCATGATTCCTCTACCTTCAGCTCTTTTCAGAGGCATCCTACCCCCTCCTCCCCCCCGCCCAGTCCCCAGGGGGCCCCATTCAGGTGGTCAGGACCATCACCCATGCAGCTCTTGGGGAACCAAAAACCAGCACTTAAAATAAAGCTGAATGACAAGAGTCCTGGCCTCTAGTAAATTGTCGTGTGGGCCGCAGTGAGGGGCTGCCCTCCAGCCCCAGGAGCCCAGCTTGGTTGGCTCACGGTCGCCCGCCTTTAGTCGGCCACAGTTGGGCAGGTACAGCCTGAAGTGGCAGCTGGCGATGGGGCCAGGAGGAGAGGTGAGACTAGCTGCTGCCTGGCTGGGCCCGGTCGGCCCTTTGCCTTCGATTCCGTGGGGCCGAGGGGAACCGGTGCCTTCCAGCAGGCCCGCCACCTCTGGGCTCTTGTCTGGGGACCAGAGGGATCCCTGGCTTCTGTCTTGTCACTGTTCACACTTAGCTCTCCACAAGCTGAACTGCTAAGAAAGACTTTATTAATAAGGTAGGGGGAGGGGAAGGCAAGGAGCCTGGAGACGGACACACCGGTACCAGGGGTTACAAACAGTAAGAAACACTTTATTATAACTTTACAACATATAAATAGCTTGGGTCAAATCTGTGCTTTCTGGCAGCTGGGCATCAAGTCTCGTCCCCTGCAGGCTCCGGCCTTCCTTCACATTGCACTGTTCGCTGGGTGGCTCTGGCCCTGAGGCCTGGCGATGGAGGTCGGAGAAAAGGCCGGGCAGCCCAGTCCCGCGCTCCAGCTCGTGGGGTGGCCTACGCCTGTCATCTGCTTGGGTTGCGGCTGGTGTGGAAGGACCGCTCCTCAGGGGTCAGGCCAGCAAAGAAGGGGTGCAGCAGGGCCTCCGCCAGTGTGATGCGCTGGGCAGGGTCAAATTCTAACATCCTCCTCATCAGGTCAAACAGCTGCACGTGCTCCAAGGAGTCCTGGAGCATGTAACTCTGCTCAGGGACACAAGGTGCCTCAGTGTGATGGCAGGGTCGTGGGAAGCCACAGCAGGTCCCTGTGCCTCTGGGAAGCCTTGCTGCAATGGGTTGAGGAGGCAGTGCTGCCTCCCTGGAGGACTACTTCCGCCCTCCTGGACAGTGAGCCGCTCCTTTCCTTTCATGCCTGCGTAGAGCGTTTGGCTCTGAACTTGTCAAGGCTACTGGGTAGTCTTGCTGGCTCGGTGCCTCTGCCCCTGCATGCAAAGTCCTGACAGGTGGGTTAATCACCTCTGCAGAATTCACTTGTCCGGGCACCAAATGTAGTTGACAGAGGCTCTCTGGCCATGTCTAGGTCTTCCCTCCCCCTCACCTCAGTCCTGCCTAGTTCTTCCCAAAACCGAGAGAAGAGGGGGACAGGAAGCAGCAGGGTCTCTGACATCTGGCTCTTCTGGTGTTCCCCCATTACATCCATAGCCACCCTGTGGGGAAGGGGCGGGGCTAAGGGCCCCTCGGGGGCGGTCTGCAAGCAGCCCCACGGCCGGCACCCAGCAGCCTTGGGTGTGGCCTCCCACAGAGCCGGAGCGAGGAGGCAGCTTTTAGCTGCCTGGCCTGTGTCTCCTGTGTGTCTGCCCAGTGCCTGGGGTCTCCTTGGCATGAGCTGAGCTGGGGGAAGCCAGAAACTGACCTTCAGAGGTTTGCAGTTCTCCTTCACATACCGGCCATCAGAGCTGTTCTCATCCCAAACCAGGCCCCCTTTGTAGAAATATTTCTGTTTCCTGAAAGCAAAGGAAAGGAAGGGGTCAAGCGGCAGGGGTGGCAGGGGGCGACGTGTCTTGGGTGGGGGCTGGGGGGCAGACAGCGGCAGTCTGGGGACTGGCTGCGAAGCCACGTGGGGGAACCCGGCTGGCCTGGTGCAGCAGGGCGGAAAGGTCTGGGCAAGTGGTCTGCCAGGTCACTCAGAGTAGGGGACAGGAGGGAAGGCCAAGAGGAGCCCCGAGGGCACCACCAGGGCTCCTTACCTGGTACGGTGGATCATGTGTGATGGGATGGGCCCTAGGATCTTCTCCATCATCACCAAATGTTCTCGGTTTTCGTGGGTCTATTGGAATGGCAGGGGCAGGGCAAGCAGGCGTCAGTACCAGCCTCTGCCCCCTCAAAAAAGTAAGGGACACTCCTTGCCCCCGAGAGATGTGAACCCACCAGTGAACAGTAGTCCCAGCCTCTGACCTAGTGGCAGCCTGCCAGCCTGTTCGCTCAAGGTCAAGTGCACGCTCCCTAACCTCTAGGGTGGACTTGCCCATCACCGCACCTCTCTTTCCACGGACTTCCCTTACTCTTCCCAGAACGTGCCCCGCCCCGGCCCCTCTCTCTGCCCTCCCTCAGGCCGTGCCCCCTGCCTCAAATGCTCGCTCCTCCTGCCCTGAGCGCCCCACTGCCCCGACCTCAGGAGCCCGAGTGTCCCAGCATGCTGCCCGAGGGGGGGCGGTCACAGGGCTCCCCACGCCAGCCCCTGCGGCCCGCCCGAGGAGCGGCGCTCAGGCGAGCTGCGTGCTGCGGGAGGCTCGGCCTTACCTGGAAGAGCGTGAAGCCCCGGTAGTACTCGAAGAGAATGCAGCCAATGCTCCAGACGTCGCACGGCTGTGCCCAGCCCAGCTCTGAAAGCCAACGTGGGGGGAGACCGTGAGACTCAGCCCCCGGCTCCCAGCCCAGACGTCAGAGGACAGCTGCCGCTCTGGCGAGGCGGGGTTCTTGCCCAAACCCCAACAGAAGACCCTTTCTGCATACGGCCAAGTGAGCCACCACAGTGACACTGGCCCCTGGGGGCGGGCGCATCCCTGCCTCTAGCCCTACCCTCCCGGCAGCGGTCCGCTTTATCGGGTGGCGGCTCTCCAGTCACTCACCAAGGATCACCTCAGGTGGGCGATAGTGACGGGTGGCCACGATGGTCGTGTGATGCTCGTGGTCAAAGGTAGCACTGCCGAAGTCAGCTACCCGGATGCTGGTGTTTTTCACCGACTTCTCCTCACAGCTCTGACAGGCAAGGAAACCAGGTCAGGAGTCTGGCCCGGCGGGGCACCCACCCCAGAGCGTGGCCCTGCCCTCTCCCGGCCCGTACCTTGTGCTCATTGTAGAGGGTTTCAAACTCTGAGTTCACAAACAAGATGTTCTCTGGCTTCAAGTCTGTGTGGGTCAGCTGGTTTTCATGTAGAACTGGGGAAGCAGGAAGGACAGAAGCAGAACCTTGAGAACCCCGGCTGCTTCTCAGGCCCCTCCGCCAGCGCTGGGCCAGATTTCACCTCTACAGCTGGCCTGCCGGCGACCCTCGCACCCCCAACCTCTGCAGGGGGCTCGGGGAGCAGAGCGGCCTCTCGCGTTCTCGGTGCTTGGGGCCTTGGCCGGGTCTGATACTTTACAAGAGGGGCAGGGGACGCTTTTCCCATTTCGAAAACCTCCTCAAGCCTCTCCCCGAGGCTGCAGCATCAGCCTGGGGCGGCTCCCTCTCCCCAGCACCAGCTACATTATGTGCGGGTCGGGGGCAAAATGAAAACGCAGGTCCCCTTACTCAGAAGTTTCAAAGAACGTTAAGATGGCAACAACAGACCACTGAACTAAAATAACCACAGGGCCACCCCTGAAGCCAGCCCTGCCTCTTCCCATCCCCCAGCCTGGAAGGAGACCTCTACCTTTCTCCTCCAGTCCCTGCCCCACCACTGGCGGCACCCGGCCGCCACTTAGCACCTTCCGGCTCCAGGCTCCCAGCTGGTGGTCAGGACCGTCCCCGCGGTGTGACGCACCTCTCCCCAACAACGGGCCCTCTCTTCCTCGGAGTGAGTTTCAGCACACGCCAGGGTCTGGGCCCTCACTGAGCCGCTCCCCTCACTGGGAGGGCTCGTCCCTGCCCCCTCCATCTGTGCGGACCCCGGACAGCCTAGCTCTAGGCCTATCTACCTCCTCTCCAAGGAGCCTCTGCCCTGCACGGACCATCACACCCCGCGGTGCGCAGCACGTGCACCTCCAAACGAGGCTCCCAAAGGCCGGCAGGCAGATGGGAAGGGACTGTCGGACGGAGGGCGTGTGCGTGGGCAGTGCCCGGGGCTGGGATCTACCAGTCAGCCTTCGACCTTTCCACCCTCTGCGGGACGGCGAGAGGCGACGGCGAGCTGGGCAGATTCTGGAGTGCTCTCTCCTTTCTTCCTGAGTGCCCGGGGCATAGGCGGGCTCAGGCGCCCCTGGAGGCGACCGAAGCCTCTCCCTCCTCCCAGAGAGTCCTCCCTGAAGGCCTTTCAGCCCAAGGGGCCCCAGCGCCTCTCGGGCCCGGCACGATGGTCGGCAGCTGGTGTGAACGGGGGAGTGGCGGTGCGCACACTTACACCGGAGGGCGTGGCAGAGCTGGTAGGCCATGTGCCGGACGTGCGGCAGGGGGTAAGGCTGGAAGTTATTCTCCTTCAGGAACTCAAAGGTGTTCTTGCCCAGGAGCTCAAAGGCGATGCACATGTGACCGTGGAAGTTGAACCAGTCAGACATCAAGACACACAGGCTAGAGGAGAATGATGGGGGGGTGGGGGTGGGGCTCAGTGTCTGCTGGGGGGCTGGCTCCCCGCCCCTCCCTCAGGTGAAGCCGGTCCCTGCTCCTGGGCCCCTGGGTCACACGTGCTCATGAAGAGAGACCATCTGTTATAGACAAAGAGCACGTCTGCCATCAGAGGTCACCCAGATCAGCTCAGGGCGAGGACTAAACCTCCTACTGCCACAGGGTCCTGCCGTCGACTTATGACATGGCCATAATCCCTGCACCTCAGAAAGAGATGGCATCGTGCCTTCCTTTCTCCGGCTCCCGGAACTGAGCTTCCCGAGCCTGCAGGGCTCGGCACGGGGCTGGCGGGAGAGGAAGTGCTCAACGCGCGCGCGAGCCCCAGCAGCTTCGGGGCTGCGTCTCGTCTGACCCCCGCCGTGAGCCACGAGGCCCCTATTTACAGAAGGGGGCCTGGGAGGCGGCCTCAGCGCGCACCGCACAACGGCTGGGGTGGAGCCCGCGCTGCACCCCGAAGGCTCCTCCGGCACGGCCTCTGGGCCCGGCCGCCCGGCCCTGCGCGTCGGGAGAAGGCCTGGCGCCAACCAGGTGAGAGCACACGGCTCCACCAGGGGGTCTAGGCAGTTGGGGCCGGAGCGGACGCCGTCCCCACGGAGAGCTTCCCTCTGCTTCCCTGTGACACTCACAACTTGTTCTCTTTGTCCTTCTCCTTGATTTTTTTGAGAACGTTGATTTCTAGCCGGGCAGCCTCCCGGTACTTGCCCACGTTGCGGATGATCTTCAGGGCAACCTGAGACTTCCCTCTGGGATCCGGGAAGGAAGCAGAGGTTCTCAGGAGAAGTGCCCCTGCCCTTCTCCCCCCACCCTCCACCCCAATCTGGCAACTCCTGGCAAACACCACTCAGGACTCCAGAACAGGACCTGCTCTGGCGAGCGCAGACAACTGACCCCCAGACGCCGCCACACCTCCCCTGTGCCGGCAGCAAGCTCCCCTGGCATCTCTGAGTTAGCGCGCCGGGGCCAGCCTGGGCTTATCTGATGCCAGCCACTGCCAGCTCCCGGCAGAGTGCGCAGAGGGGTGGAGGCCTAGCCCGCCGGCAGCACCGGCACCAGCTCACTCAGTAACCCGACCTGTAGGCCAGCCAGCCCTGACCCTGGCCACGCCATCCCAGCCAGAACCTTCTCGCAGCACCTCTTGACCTTCCTAAAGCACATCTCCAGGTCTGGGCAAACAGCGCCCCCTGGGGTGGGGGTTCCAGGATGGGACGAAGCCTTGGTAAGAGTTAGGTAAGGGTGCCAGCAATAGGGTCTTCTCGCTGGGAGTCCCCGGGGCGCTCCCTTTACTCCACTTCCTCTGGCCGCCCCCAGCCTGCCTACCAACCAGCCACAGCACGTATCACAGACCGCTGAGTGCCAGGAGGCCCCTTCGGTGTCCAGTGCGGATTTTAAGAACTCCTGCCTCCGAGCTTCCCATCCGCCAGCCCCGCCCCATAGGCCACCCGCAGGATGCCAGCAGAGCAGGGGACGTGCTGAGGTTCGACCGCCAGGCCCGGCGGCTATCGGGAAGGGCCAGCCAGACTTCAGAAGCCCGCTGGGGAACTAGACTGAGACAGCCCTGGCCCCTTGAGAGGCCTCCCTCTGGGAGGCTGGCCTTGGTGCCTAAGGAAAAGGCTCTCAGGCCCTAGGGCAGAGGCATCTTCTGGAGAATACCCTTGTTTTTCTTTCCCTCTCCCATTTTCCCAGATTTTCAGGGCTGGGAAAGACCTCAGAGGAAAGGCCACCTGCTCCAGGCTCCCTCAATGGCGTTCTGATCTTCAACACAGGGAGCTCGTCACTCCCACAGGCAGCCGCCACCAGGGTTGGATGGCTCTGAGGATCAGGCCCTTTCGCCGAGGTGAAATTTACCCCCTCATAACCACCCCTCTGGCCAACTCCCTTTGGACCCCCTAAATGTCCCCCGAGCCTTGTGCCTGCCCCTCAGTGACTTCAGAGGCTCACTGCCCCTCCAGCTACTCGGGGGCACGGCCCAGAGAGCTTAGCTGCCCCCGCGTGTCACAGCTCGCAGATCTGCCTCCTGTCCCTCTGGTTCCAGTGCGGTCTACACGTCCCCATGCCCACTGGCCCCAGCCCTAACCTGGCGGGCCACAGTGGGTCTGAGGGGTGGGAACTGGGAGCCCAGGGAGGTTTCCTGTCAGTCACTGTCACTACCTTATATGGAGACCACAGGGCTAGCTGGATGGCTAGGTCCAACTGTCCTGAGCACCCCATACGGTGGTACTTGGCGCCAGCACTCAACACCTGGGGGGTATGGGTCAGATCTCTTCACCTCTAACACAGTGGAAAGGTCGTGATGGGCGGCATGTGGCTCAATGACACAGCAGGGACATGAGCACCTGGTAGCTAAAGCACCAGACCAATAAGAGTGCCATCAGAAGAGGGAGGCAGCGGGCTCCCAGGAGGCAGCCTTCCAGCCTAAGGCAGAGGGGCACGAGTTCTGGTCTGGAGGAATGGCGAGGGGACAAGAGCGTTTCACCACGCAGCCTGGAAGGCAGCAAGGGTCCCCAGAAGCACCCAAACACACACAGAGCCCTGTTCTACCTGCGCACACTCAGAGGGACCCGCAATCAAGCCTGGCCACATGGGCGAAGGCGACGGCCGGCTAGGTCAGAGAACCCGAGTCCCGTTCCTCTCAACCGGGCCGCGCACAGCCTCTCAGGCAGACCTCCCGAGCGGGGCAGGGGGGCTTGGGCTTGGTCTGGGCTCAGCACTATTCCGGAACCCCTCCCAGGCCCAACCCGCCACGAGATGGCAGGAAGCGGACCCAGACCACTGAAGAGCCGGGGCCTCGGCCGTGTGCCCGACAGCCGCCACCACAGCCCCGGGGGGCCGAGGGGCTGCCAGGGCAGCGCCCCTCATGGGCCAGCAGTCTGTGAGCAGGGAGGCCACACGCCTGCGGAGCCCCGGGAATTTCTCCCTATTTCAGGGGATCAGCAGAAGCCCAACACGCCCAGGCCAGCACCCTGCTATGGCGCGACCCTTCGGAAAGCCACGGGAGAGGCTCTGACGCCCGCCGACCTCAGGAGCCGCAGGCTGGCTCTGCCCAGGAGGACCGCTCACCTGGCGTGGTCCAAGCACTCCACCACCTTGCCGAACGTGCCTTCGCCCAGGTTCCCCACGATCTCATCTAGGAGAGAAAAGAAGCAGGGCATGAGGGCCTGGAGGGCAGAGGGCCGGCAGCTCCTGCAAGTTCACAGCATTCAAATTCTCAAAAACAAAAAAGGTTTCTTTCTCACGGCTACGCTCTTAAAAACAGAAGTTGCTAGTGTCTGTGTCATTCAGGCAATTACTGGTGGCCCCGCTAAGGCGCCACGCGCACTAGAGGCCCCTCCGGGCAGGAGAGGTCTCGTCTAACAAGGGGGGAGAAAGTAGAGAGGTAAAGTTTTACGAAAGGTGGCTGTACATCGCTCTTGGAGCCAATCGCCGATCCGGCACACCAGGTGGCCCTCCTTGTCATCTTCCACACTCCGGCTGCTGCGCTTACTGCTCTGTTGGCTTCTCTGCATGCACCGCCCCCCGAAACGCCATCCGACCAATCGCATGGTAGGCGGTTCCGATTGACAGATTGAAGTGTCAGTCAAAGGCAGAGGTGGAGACGGTGAGGAGCCGGTGGGTTGGTTGGTTGGATTTTCCAGATCCCAGCATTTCATAAGGCACACAGCATATATAACGATAGGGATATTGCAAGGGACACGTCAAGACACAAACTGACTTCAAAAACAGAAAAGTAAAAACAGCTACAGGTATGTAAAGAAAACTCGGACATTATCTAAGAGAAGGGCGCCGCAAACGCTCAGAAAGACGACCAAGCCTCCGCTGCCGAGGGGCCGGGCGGCGCCAAGAGCCCCGGGCCCCGGCTCCCTTCGCCACCGAGGGTCCCCCTCCCGGGCCCTCCCGGGATGGCTCCAGCCAGCGTGAAGACGCAGCGAGAACGGCGCAAGAAGGTGGCTGGCTCAGCCTGGGTCCGCTCGTCCGCAACGGCCAGAGGCCGCTCTGGCTTCAGCTGCACAACGCCCAGCCGGCCCTCACCTGCCTCAGCTCGCACACGCAGCCCTGCGCAGGCCCGACAGCGGCCACTCGGAGCCAAGCTGCCACCTGCCCCCACACGGGCCTCCGCGGCCACACGTCCCGTCACCACCAGAAACGGCCTTCCGCCGGCGGCCCTCGTGCCGCCCGCCTCGAGCAGGCCGGGCGACCCTCCTACCACCACGGCCCCCACGGGCCCCACGCCAGCTTCTGCCCTGGCCTCGACGCCCACGATCTCACAGGCCGGGCCATCCCGCGCCTCCTGACGACAGAGGGCACCCGGAAGAGAAGAAGCCTGCACTGCCATCCTGCAGCAGTGTGTGGCGGTGTGCACAGAGGCCACCGGGCCGTGCTGGGCCGCCCGCGGTCAACCCTCAAGCCGTGGCCGCTCAAGGAAGTCACAGGAAAGCTGAGCAGAAGAGAAGCCTGGGCCCTGCACCGGTCCCGCCGCCACTCCTCAGGGGCCTCCTGGCCGGCGGGAGGCAAGAGGGATGGGGAGGAGAGGAGAAGACGGCACGCGACCCGACAGACACACGAGGGGCCCGAGCGCGGCGCGGCAGAGATCCGGACCGCCTCCACGCTCCCGACACGGCCAGGCCCCGCTCCCGGCGTGTGGCCGGCCACCGCACAAGGCCTGGGGCTGCGGGCCTTTCTGCCATCCGTCCACGCGCCCCGGCACACGGGCGGCCTGTCCCCCTGTCTTGACCGCCCCTCACGGGAAGAGGCGAGGCTGCAGAGGGCCCGGCTGGAGGTCAGCGGTCAGAGGGGGAAGCTCCCGGTCTGAGCTGACAGGCCGCCCCTACCCGTGGGCACTCCAGCCAGCGCCCGTGACTGCGGGCCATCTCCGGGTGGGAGGGACCGGGCCACGCAGCTCCAGACCACATACCAGCAACCCTATCAGGTTCCCCAAGTGTCCCCGGCCACGCGCACCATGTGGCCCGGGCCCGGAGCAGCGTGGAGACACAGACAGGCCGGGGGGCCAGCCGGCGCCGGAACCAGAGCTTCTCTCGCCGCCGCCGCCGCCAACGGCCAGAAGACGGAGGGGCCGGGCCCCCCGCTCAGCCCTGCGCCTGGACCAGACGACACAGACACACACACATGCACGCACACCCAATGCGCGTGCGCGGGGCTGGCAGTACTCACCCAGAGCAGCCAGCCTGAGAAAGGCTAGAAAGGACGGGGCCCGGGAGCCCCAGCCAGCGCCCTGTGGCCACCACTCACCGAGGAGGCGCTGCTACAAGACCTGGTGCGGCGTTTGCGGCAGTGGTGGGCGTGCCTGCGGGCCCGGTACGGCTCCCTCTCCCGCGAGCGCCGGCGATGGTGGGACCGGGAAGACCCGTAGCAGTCCTCGCCGAACGACGGGCTCCGCTCTTCGCACCGGTACGTGTCGCTGTCACGGCGCTCCCGGTACCTCCTCTGGTAGGGCAGGCGGTCGTGGCTGCCGGGAGGGGCGTGAGGACACTGGTAAGGTGGGGACCTTCCTCCCACTAGCCCGGGTTCCGCTTCTGGGCAAAAGGCGTGTGGTGAGGCCCCACAACGAGCTCACAGGGCGGCCTGCTGGAGCAGAGGCATGGGGGGGGGGCGGGGGGAGCGTGTGCATGAAGTCCCGCCTCCGGAACCCGGGCAGCTGGCGGCACCCCTCCAGGGCAGGAGGCTCAGCACCGGGCCTCAGAGGGTCCCAGCGCCCCAGAGCTCCCTGTGGCTGCTCACACAGGACGAGGGGCCGAGCTCTGGAAAGGACAGAGGCTGCGTTCTCAACCCCACCAAGGGAGGCTCAGAAGTCAGCAGGGGCGATGCCGGCCTAGAGTCTGGAGAAGGAAGACTCAGACAGAGAAAGGGGCAGCAGGACGGCAGCGAACACAGAGGCCCGGGAACGCAGCTGAGCTCGGGGGGGAGGGGGACAGTGGTAGAGGCGGCAGCCCCCGAAGGAGCCCAGGGCCGCCACGAGCCTCCACGCTGTCTCCCCAGCCCCGCTGAGGGATGGAGCCCCTCCCTCCCACCTAGCCCCCTGTCACCTTCTGGACCGAGATCTCCGGGGCGGAGGCTCCCTTCGAGACGGGTACCGCAGTCTCCCTTCGTGCTCCCGACTGTAAGACCTCCTCCTCTTCCATCGGTAGCTCAGGTACGGGTCTGGCTCAGGGGAGCGGTATCGCTTACAGTGATGCATCTAGGCCGCGGGAAAGAGAGAGCGCTGCTCAATGCGCAGCCAGGCCGCCAGCCACCTCCGGCCACTCCGGCCCCCGGGCTGCTCGGGGCGCCTAGGCGCTCCTGAAGAAGGGGCCCATTGTTGTGTTTGGGGGCAGCCCCTCCCAGGGGTTTATGAAGTGAAAAAGAGCTCTGAGGTCACACTGGTCAAACAGCACACGACGGGCAACACCCTCCTGTGCCAATGAACAAACAAACAGCTGCCTCCCCAGCATGGCAGCGCAGGGCCTGGGGGCCTGGGGGCTCGGGGGCTCGGGGCGCCCAGCAAGCCGGCACAGGTGCAGACAGAAGGGGGCGGGGCTGGTAAGCACCATCCCAGGAGACCAAGGCCAAGGAGAGAGGAGAGCCTCCTGGGTGCAACTCCCTCCTGTCTGTGGGGTCCTATGAAGTGACTGGTCTGTCAAGCCAGAGGCCAGAGTCAAAGGGCTGTTGGCAGGGAGCCAACACACAGGAGCAAAGGGTGAAAGCCCTCGAGTCCGAAGCCAAGTTGCCTGGCTGAGGCCCTGCACTAGACCCCATCAAGGGAGCAAAGACCACACATCAGTGGGAGAGGCCACAGGCGGAAACGAGAAGACCAGCCCTTGGAGGAGGAGGTGCAGAGGGTCTTACAAACATTCCCTAGCCGATCCGAGGGGCTGGCCAAACAGACCTGGGGGTCCGTCCAGCCCCTGCTGCTCCACGCTCTGTCTCAGCACCAGCACACTGGGGCCAGCATCCTCAGAGCACCCAAGGTTCTTGCCCAAGACCCCTGGGGCACCCTCCGACCAGCTGAGATGCCATGCCAGCCAGTGCCTCGCCTCCAACCGTACCACCGCTGCTAGACCCCCTGTTCTGGTCCCCTCTCCTGTGCTCATCTCAGGAGAAGCCAGAGGGCTGAGTGTCTGGCAAGCTTCTGTGCTCGGAGAGGCAGGCCAAAAGGGCCCTACCTCACTGTCCCTGTTCAGCACGGACTTAAATCCACCACAGGAAATTGTCAGGCTGGACCAGACACCAGCTGAGGAAGATGGCTATGTGAGGCCAACTCACTGTTCCACCCACACCCAGAACGCTGGCCAGCCTTCCTCCCAACCCTTTACTTGGCCTTAGCCAACCTCCAACGGTGGTCAGTCCTGGGCTTGCCTGACTAAGCACATTTGGACAAACCCACTGAGGCTGTCCCATCTCATGAGAAGGGTCTGTCAGGAGAGCAGAATGAACCAGCTCCCCGTGGATGGGCAGGGCAGCCAGGCATATCTGACTAAACCCCTGGGAGCTTCTCCATGATCCTGAGGAAATCCCTGCTCTCGATCTCCCACCAGCAGGTTTCTTCCCCTATCTATCTACTGCCCAGGCCCCAGCAACGCTTGGAGGTAAATACTATGTAAAATCACCAACAGCTCCTCAAGAGCTTAAACTGCTGTTCTGTTTTGACGATCAGCTAATGTTTCACTGTTTTCCTGCAATTACCCTGGGTCAGGTGCCCAAGTTATGGAATGAAGGCAGTATCTCACATCTCCCTAAGTGACATGGAAGATGCTCTGGTGGCCAGGCAGGCAAACCACCAGAGCTGGACAATGTGGTCTGGTCCACACCAGGCCAAAGACCTGGGTGGACCTGGGACCTAGACGATTCTTATTCCCACACGTGTTCATGTTAGTGGGCTGAGCACAGATTCAGAGTCAGACAGATTTCGGTCTGAGTCCCGACACCACCACTTCTAGCTGTGTACCTTCAGGCGAGTTATTAAACTACTCTGGCCTTCAAACTTCTCTTGCAACAAGGGGACAGTAATCTCTGATAGGGCTCTGTGAGAATTAAATTACGCTACTTCTTTAACAGTGCCTAGCACACGCCTTTAGATCAAACGCATTAATGAAGTCAGCTTTTCATTAACAAGGTTAAAAAGATTCCAGACAACACCTCTGGGTCTATGTTAGGACATAAAGGATATTTTATAAGTCCCTTCCAGGGGGAGAGAGCGCTCTGGGTAGAAAACCCCAAACTAAATCCCAGTGCTGCCACTTACTGGCCTCATGACGCTAGGCCTTGGTCATCATACCTGAGAACTGGGAGACAACACCTCCCAGCCAACTTGGCAATGGAGATGACAGGGATGAGAGCTATAAAGTACCACACAAGGTAATCAGAGAGGAGATAACCTCTGCTTCAACACATTCTAGGTAGGGGAAATATTGGGAATACCAGATGTCCCTCATTATCTTCCCAGACAAGGCTCTAGATCCCATTTCTCTTCAATTATCTCTGAAGCTCTGAGACCCCAGCAGATAGGTTAAGGAAGCGAAGGGTCACAATTATGTTCAAGAAGGCTCTGCTCTTACACAGGGAAGAAAGAGATAATGTAAAGGAAACCAGGCCAAGAATGCCACCTTTTCTCTGAGCATAGGCCTAGTTGACTTCTCATTTGCAGTTCCTGGCCAGAGAACTGGGTTGACAAGAAGAGCAGCCAGCCAGGTCAGCGTCTACCCTCCCAGATCCCAGCCACTCCAGCGTCCCATGGTTATTTTTGGCTGACGCTGCCCCACCACTGCAACCTCAAACCTGCCACCTTACAAGCCGCCACCACCGGGTGAAACGCTCCTCCTTTTCAAGGGCATGGAGGAGGGAAGCTGGAAGGCAGCCAACTCCGCCTCGACGGGGGCCTGGCCCAGGCAACTCCCACCCCAGCTCCACACCAGAGCACCCGCACCCGGAACTAAAGCACACACAGACTCCCGGACCAGGGAGCAGCCCGGGCATTTGTACTGTCAGCTTGGCCCGGGCCCTCCCTCGGGCTGGAGCGGCTCCATCATCACAACAAAACACGCTGGAGGCCTACGGCCCTCGCTCGCGTCCCTTCCTGAGGCGCCCTGGGTCTCAGAGATCTGAGCCCCTTCCCCCATAACCGCCGCCAGTGGCGGCGAGGGGCGACCCGGGAGACAGGCGGATGGCCAGCCTGAGCTAGAATCAAACTTCAGGCCGCGCGGGGAGGAGGAGTCTGCAGGCCTCGAGCAGACGGTATGGGAGGGGTCTGAAGGCCCCTCCAGGCTCTCCCAGGTAGGACCCCGACCCCATTCCGTGGGAGGTGCAGGGCCTCAGAAGCCGCTCTGGCTCAGACTCCGACACCGCGGGATCGAGAGGTCGGGGTCTGCGGTGACCGCCCCTCCAGGGGAGAAGCGGCGGGTCAGGGGTGAGAGGTCGCGGCCGCGGCCAGAGGCGGGCCGAGGGGGAGAAAGAAAGAGACAAGGCCGAGACGGAACCGGGAGCCCGGAGACCCGCACCCAGCGCGCTCGTCCCGGCGACTCACCCCCCGCCGCTGCCGCCGCCGCCGCCGCCGCCGCGGGCCTGGGCCCACACTCACCGTCTCCCAGGATCCGGCTGTGGCTAGGCCCCACTCCCCGCTCCGAGCGCCTCTTCCGCTTCCGGCTCCAGCCTCCGCCCGCGGCGGCCCCGCCCCTCGCGTGACGCAGCCGTCGCCAGTCCCTGCTCGACCCGGCTCGATGGCCTGGCCGCTCTAGGCCCCGACTCGAAGGCTCTGGAGGACCCGCCTTCGCCGCCCCGCTTCGGGCGGCAGCAGTGGAGACTGGTTCCGGGAGGGCAGAGGGGACGTTCCTGGCTGCGGCCCGCCCCCCGTCGTGTCGCGACGCACGTAGGCCCCAAGACTCGCCCCGAGAACCGTCCCCGCCCGCGGGCGCCGGGAGCCGAGAGGTGGAGCCCCGACCCGGCCGGGGGACCCTGCCTCCTCTGTGGATCCGACCCCGCCCATGCCCGCCAACCCTTTCCTGCGCGCGGAGAGGCGGGCATTGTTTCGCTGTTGCCTCAGTGAAAACCGGGCGGGCCTTGAGTGTCCGTCTGGCCCCGGGACCCCGGAGGGCGCCAGAGATGACGGAGGCCTGTGTCCTGAGAGGCTCAGGAAGGCTGGCGCCGCTCCCGGTTTCGTGGAAGAAGCAAATGAGACCTTATTCTCTTTGTGTGGGGGTGTCTATTGAAGACCTGCGGCACGCCCGCATTCCCGTGGGCATCAGAAGTTTCGGGGAAGATCCCCGAGAGCCACGTCGGCGGGGTTTCTGGAGAGACGGGGTCTGGGGGAAAGGGAGTCCCCTTTTCCCTGAGCAGCGCCGTACGCAGACTCGCACTGTGTCTCAGTTAATAAAACGAAAACGCCGCCAAAGGAAAGCCCACGATCAGGCCCCGCGGGCCATTTTTCCGAGTCACGCGACGCCCCCTTTTGCCGAGGCGGCGACGGTGGGATCGCTGAAGCCCCTCCCACCCGCTGTCCCGCCCCTCGTTGGGGCGGGATAACGGGACCCAACTTTCCACAGGAGAAAGCCAAGGTCGGGTCTTTTGGGGGACCTTACGGATTGTGAGCGTTCACGCCCCAGGGCTCTAGCTGGTATCGCCCAGCTAAGCGGGCGGGAGCGGCCTCTGGTGGCCCACACGCCCCGCCAGCGCGGGAGCGGGGGGGCCGGGCATCTTCGCCGGCCCCCGCCCCTCCCGGGACCGCTCTGTGGGGGCGGGTCACGCCCACTCCCCCAATGAGGGCTGGCCACGCCTCTGACGCGAGGCGTCCTCTCCCCGCCGGGACAGGCGCGCTGCGAGTCGGGCCCCTCCTTCCGGAGTTGAGGCTTTTCCTCTGATCTTTGGTCTCCTGCTCTCGCCTAAACTGAGGTCCGACGGCGTGGCCTGAGGGGGGTGTTTACTACCCCCCGCGCCCCAGTTCTGTTAGCTCCACCACCCCATCCGAAGTAAACAAGCGAAGCTAAGGCAACACGGAGGCTTGCTACGCTCATGTGGCCTCAAGAACGGATCCCCGTCCCCTTCCAACCAAATGCAGCCGCCCCCCAAACAAATTCAGAAGGCGCTTCCAGTGTGCTGTGGGTGACCGAGAGCCCGGCTGTCCCCGCCCGTCGGTCCCGCTCCCTTGGGATCCTGCCTCCGGGGCCGGAGGTAATGAGTTGCCATTCTTGCCCGGGCCCCCTTGCGGGGCCTGTACGACCACACCAGCCTGGTTTCACCTCAGGGTTTCATCCACTCGCGACGCGAAAGGACTGTGTGTCTCCTTCCCCCCCCCCCCCCCCCCGCCGCTTGGTGTGGCCCGCGGTTTCCATGGCTCCTAGAAGCCAGGACCGCGTGGGCAGCTGAGGGTGGAGGAGCTCGGGGAGGCTCCTGTCTCCAGCCCTGCCCTGGGCGCCGGGCTCGGAGGAGGTAAGTCGGGCGCCTCTTCCCACCAGCCCTTCCCACATCGGGAACCCAGGAGTCCCAGCCTCCCGGTAAGGAAGCCGCTCTCATCCTCTGAAATGGAGTAGGAGCCATCTCCCAGCCCCCTCTCCAAAATCTGCAGTTCAGTAGCTGTCCCGTGCCTCAGATTCTACCATTAGAGCTTCCTTCTTTTGTCTTTTTGCTCCCGAAAGAACGCACACCTAGGAGAAAAAGAGGCAGAGTGTCAGGCCCTTGGAAAAAGATCTAACCTGAGGTGAAGTACAGGTAACTTCCCCCCCCCTCCCCCCCGCCCCACACACCCTCCCACCTCGTTCCCCCAGTGCTGGAAGGCTGCAACTTTGGCAGCTCTCGGCTGGGGAGTTCAAGCGGAGGGTCACCTCCAGAGGACCCTTGCTCCACATCCCCAGCCCCTTGGGACCCACCTCTTTCCCCAGGCCTCTATCCTTGTGCCCACCAAGCCTCTTCTGTGCGGGCCGAGAACTGCAACACAGTTCAAGGGCACCGGGGAAATGCCCCTGCCCTGCGCCCTGCTACCAGCCACCTGAGACCCACAGGAGCTCCTGCCCCTCATGATCTCCCTTTTGCCCTGCTGGGCTCCTGGCTTGGCTTGCTGCCTTCTCCAGGCCCCAGCTCCTCTGATACCCTCCTTGTCCTGCCGCCCTTGCTCTCTCTCTCCCTCTCTCGTCTGCCACATCCATCTTTGCCTTCTCTGGGGCAGTTAATTCACCTTTGAGCTTCAGCTCCAGGGTCACCTATCTGGAAAGCCTTCCTGGGCGCTCCAAGGGAGAATCAGGCTCCCCTTCCCTGTGCTCCCACAGCACTGGGGGCTGTGCCTTCCTCTGCGCAGGCTCTGTAAATTCAGCATCTGGCCCGTGCCACTCCCCACTCCCGCAGACCACGAGCCCTTCCACAACCAAGCCAGGCAGAGTTGGGGTTCTCAGTAAGCGCTGGGGGCGGTCTGTGGGGAGCGCCTGTTTTTAGTGGGAAGACAGAGCACCCAGCCAGAGTGGAGTTGTGGGCGCTGCGCCAGGGTGTGGGAGGTGGGGGCGGCGGACAGTCCTCATAGTCCATCTTGGAGAGGCCTTGTGTGGTGGTGAAATGTGGAGAGAGCTCGGAAGCGGCCGCAAGAATGTGGGCGTGGAGTCGAGAGAGAAGAGGTGTCTGCGGGGAGAGGACTGGTGGGTGGTAGTGCCATCCTGAGCAGGGAGCGGGTCTGGGAATGTGAGGAGTGAGCAAGTCAGTTAGGGGGGCGGGGGAGCTCAGCCCATGACCCTCTCCTCAGTGGGTACTTTCTCCCTGTGCCCACACAGAGCTGGGGCACAGTGCTTGGTGCCCAGGTGCGTGGGTGGGAAGACAGTGGTAGGATTCTGAGGCTCAGTCCCTGGAGGTAAAGTGGGTGGGGCCTAGGGCTCAGGGCCCCCATCTTCCAGCTAAAGCTATGGAAGCCAAAGGGGTACTGAAGCAGTAACTTGGTTTAAGGGCTTCTGACCCCCTATATTAGAGCTAAACTACGGTGTCCCCAAAATGTTTCCCTGTCCCCTGCCATTTCCAGACTCCTATACTGGGAAGGGGAGCAGCAGGGGTCGGGGAGTGTGGGCCCAGTCTGCAGTGGACCCCCTTCATGACCTGGGGCAACTGACGTCCCCTTTGGAGCTTCAGTTCCCCCTCCTGAAGCCGGGGAGGGCCAGGTGAACTTGGTAACAACCAAGTGGCTGGGCCAGAGTCAGCACCGCGGCTCATAGGAGCTGTTGGAACTGAGAACTGTTTAGTGGGGTTGAGGCAGATGCTTATTTGAAATTTGAATCACCAGGGAAAATCCTGAGCCAAGGTGTTGTCAGGTTTAGGTGCATGCTCAGCACCAGGGCCTCAGTTTCCATATCTGAAGGGGCCTCAGAAGCTGGTGCCCCAGCTCCAGGGTCTCCCAACTGTCCTGCTCTCAGGACCCACACTGAGGCACAGCCCCATGGACTTGATGCCCTGCCCCCATCTGGTCCCCCTGGCCCTCCTGTCACTTTTGGCCACTGGACTGTGCCTGCTCACTGAGCCCCACTGAAGGGTGCAGGTGAGTGTGGGAAAGGTGGGCATGGCAGCCCCTGAGGCCCAGGCTGAAGCCTGGCTCCTCTTTCCTGGCAGGTGCTCAGACAGAGCCTTGGAGCAGGACGGGAGGCCCTCAGAGAAGGCCCTGTGGATATGGCTGGTAGAGAGCGGGGGCACTGGGCCAAGCTGGCTGGCCACCTGCAGGCAGCGCTGGAGGCCATGTCTAGCCAGCACAGCTGCTGTGGAGGCAGGGATGTGAGTTGGGACTCTGCAGGGCCCGGGGTGAGCTCCTCATGCAGGAGCAGAAAGTGAGGCGTCCATCCTTCCCTCCCTGATCTTCCTTGCTTATCCACAGGGACCTCAGGAGGTCCCCTGTGCTAGCAAGGTCCTCTTCCCAGGCTGGGAGCTCCAGAATGCCCAGGGCTGGTGCTCACATCTGGGGTCATGTTCTCAGGAAGAAGGCTTGTCAAGGTCTGGGGCATCCAAAGGAGACAGACGGGAACTGGGTCCCCAACAGGGGTGCTGTGCTGAACAGTGTCATCTCCGTGAATGGCGCCCTCTGGAGGTGTGCAGTGCATTGTTTGGTGTGGCTAGAGGCACTGGTTGGAGGCAAAGGAAGGACTGGGGTCCCTGTGGCCCCCCCAGGGAGAGTTGGAGGGAGAGGCTGGTTTTAGCTCAGTGGACAGAAGAGTTTCCTTCAAGGCCCAGTTGCCCTGGTGAAAGCTGCAGTCCCCAGGGAGAGAGGAAGGTGAAGGTTCATGCA